TAATATTCTAGAAAGTCTAGAAAAGAACTATAATTATTATTTATTAATTATATTATTTAAATATACTTATTATTCTAAACTTTTATTTTATTATAATTAATTATATATTTTTAATATAGAAGAATTAAAAGTAGAACTAATATATAAATATTATAAGAATATAATTATTAGTTATTAAAATAAATTAAAAATTTATAAATTATTATTATAATTATATTACTAGCCTAGAATATTATAATTTATAAAATAATAAGTTTATAATTATTATATTTATAAATAATCTATACCTTACTAAAATAAGTATTAAAAAATATTTTATTCCTTACTTATACTTAAAAGTCTTTAAAAAGATATATTTATTAATTTTATTATATATTTATTCTAAAGCTTAAGCTTTAATACTATTATAATAATAATTAACTAATTAATAAAGTTTTAATACTATATTCTCTATAATAATACTTATAATATTAAGGAAGCTACCTACCTATTTTAAGACTATATTTAGAAATTTTATAGATTTTCTAAATCTATTATATCTAATTAAGGACCCTAATTTATATTAGTATTCTAGATATACTTAAACTATATTCTAAAAATAAGATTACTCTTATTTATTATTTATTACCCTAAGATTAATAAATAAATTAAATATATAAATATTATTTTAAAATAATATTTATAAATCTATATTAATTATTTATAAAATAATTAGACTAAATAATTATTTATAGTAAAATTTATTACTAATAATATTAATTTTAAAATTACTAGATATTCCTTATTCTTTACTTTATATAATTTTAACCCCTATATAAGATTTAAGCTTATTCTACCTAATTATTATTTATAAACTTATAATACTTATTAATTTACTCTAATTATAAAATAAATATAAAAATATTACTATACTACTATAATTATTATTTAAATTTATTATAAATACTATACTAATTAGAAATATTATTTTATTAAATACTATATTAAGGGCTAATTAATCTAATTAAATATTAAGAATATTATAATTCTATATCCTTAAAAAAAATTAGATTAGAAAAATCTAGATTTTTTTTTTATTAAAAGAATTATTAATTCTTATACTTATAAATTAAACCTACTTAAAAGTATAAAAATATATTTAATATTTTATATTAAATTATTATACCTAATTATTAAAAATTTATTATTTAGATAAGAAAAAATTAAATCCCTATATATTAAAGTTAATAATATTAAAAAATAAGAAATTAAAAAAGTAATTAATTCTTATTAAAATTATTATAGCTAAAGTAGCTACTTATATTTAAAATATATTATTAAATAGATTAAATACTTTATTATTACTAAAATTCCTACTAGTTATCTAAAAAATATTATTAAATATATTACTATTTATTATTATTACTACTCTAAAAAATCTAGACTCTAAAAATACTTTACTAGAACTTAGCCTAAGAGAGGGGATATTATTATAGTATAGCTATATACCTATTTAGTTAGATTTTACCCTAATTATTTATCTTTATTCCTATATTTAAACTATATTACTTCTAATCCTATTATAGCTCTTTAAGCTATATCCTTATCCTAACCTAACTCCTACCTATTGTACTTATATATAGATAGCCTGAATATACACCCTGCTGTTAGCTACACCTACTGCCCACCTACTCTCCGTGACACCATAAACTTATAATACTTACTAATTTACCCTAACTATAAAGTAGATATAGGAATATTACCATACTACTATAGTTACTACTTAAGCCTGCTATAAATACTATACTAACTAGAAATACTACCCTACTAGATACTATACTAAGAACTAATTAGTCTAGTTAAATACTAAGAATATTATAATCTTATACTCTTAAAAGAAATTAGACTAGAAAAATCTAGACTTCTTTTTTATTAAGAGGGTTATTAGTTCTTATACTTATAAATTAGACCTATTTAAAAATATAAAAATATATCTAGTATTTTATATTAAATTATTATACTTAATTATTAAAAATCTATTATCTAGATAAGAGGAAATTAAACTCCTATATATTAAAGTTAATAGTATTAAGAAATAGGAGGTTAAGAAAGTAGTTAATTCTTACTAGAATTACTATAATTAAAGTAACTACCTATATTTAAAGTATACTATTAAATAAGTTAGATACTTTACTATTACTAAAGTTCTTACTAGCTATCTAGAAAATACTACTAAATATATTATTATTTATTATTACTACTACTCTAGAAAGCCTAGACTCTAGGAATACTTTACTAGAGCTTAGCTTAAGAAAGGAGATACTATTATAGCATAGCTATATACTTATCTAATTAAATTCTATCCTAATTATCTATTTTTATTCCTATATTTAAGTTATATTACCCCTAATCCTATTATAATTTTTTAAGCTATATCCTTATTCTAACCTAATCTTTACCTATTATACCTATATACAGATAGCCTGAATATACACCCTGCCATTAGCTACACCTACTGCCTGCCTGCTCTCTGTGACAACTAAGGCCTTTACTAATTCTTAAATATACTTAATAAGATATAAGTATAGACTTTATTATATACTTATTATTAAATAATAACTATAATACTATTCTAGTTATAATTAATTATTTAATAAAGATAAAGTACTTCCTCCCCTATACTAAAATAATTAATATTAAAGGAATAGCTAATCTATATCTTAAGTATATTTAGAAATTCTATAATATCCCTAAAATAATTATATTAGATTATAAAATCTAATTTATTATTATTTTTTAAAAATACTTAATATTTTACTTAAAGATTTATAACTTATTATTTATTATTTATTATTCTAAAATTAATAATTAAATTAAATATATTAATATTATCTTAGAATAATATTTATAAGTATATATATTATATTTATAAAATAATTAATTTAAATAATTATTAATAATTAAATTTATTATTAACTTTATTTATTCTAAGTTTATAGGAGTATTATTATTTATAGTTAATTATAGATTTTATTTAATATTAGGATTTAAATTAAGCTATATTATTATTTATCTTATTAAGAAAAATATTAAGAAATTTATTAATATTATATATAAAATTTATAAATTTATTTATATTAAGATCTTATTTACTTAAGTTTATTATAAAATATAAATTAATTATTAAAAATAACTTATATATTATTATATTATAGAGTAAGAAGTTTAATTAAATATTTATAATATTTAAATACTTTACTTATAAAAAAAATTAAATTAAAAGAATTTTAAATTATATTATATTAAAAAAATTATTAACTTATATACTTATAAATTTAAATTATTTAAAAATATAAAAATCTATTTTATATTTAATATATTTTTACTTTATTCTATTATTAATAATTCTTTATTTAATTAATATCTTAATCTATTACTACCTATTAAAGTAGAAGAATTAAAAAAATAAGAAATTAAAAAAATTTTTAATTTTTAATAAATTTATTAAGACTATAATAAATCTAAATTATAATATATTATTAAATAAATTAAATATAATAAGCTAATTAAAGAATCTACTAAATATTTAAAGAATACTTACTAATTAGTAAATAATTATTATCTTTATTATTTTAAGAAATCCTGGCTAATTTCTTTCTAGTCTTAATAGAACTTAATCCTAAAAAAGAGAATATTATTATAGTATAAAATTATAATATTTATTTAATTAGATTTTATCTTAATTATCTATCCTTATTCCTATATTTAAGCTATATTATTCTTAATTCTATTATAGCTTTTTAAACTATATCCTATTTATTACCTAATATCTACTATTCTGCTGTTCTGTCTGGTTAGCTCCTAGTTAATAAATATCTGAATCTAACTCTGCCCCCTGACAAAAGTACTTATTTCTTAATATTTTAAGAATTATTATATTATTATTTATATTACTTAGTTAAGTTACTAGTATAGTATAAGTGACTTAAATATTACTACTCTCCTAATTACCCTCAGTTACTTGGCATGTGGTTTGGCATGTGGTTGCATGTCACGTGGTCGCCGTGACATAAATCTATAATTAGGGATAGTTTAAATTATTCTATTATACTAGTAATAGCTATACCTAGGGATAAAGTTATGTAATATTATAAAGAATAGGTAGGTAATAAATATAGCTAATAGCAAGGTATATATTCAGGCTATCTATAAATAGGTCTAATAGGTAGGGGTCAGGTCAGGACAAGGATGTAGCTCAAAGAGCTACAATCAGGATCAGGAACAACATGGTTTAAATACATGAGTAGGAGCGGACAGTCCAGGCAGAATCTTAGCGAGATAGGTGCACGGCTACGCTGTGACATTTAAGAATAGTAAAGAGATTAAAATTAATAAATAATTTACTACTAGATATAATTTAAATCTATCTAGAATAAGAATAGTATCTTAAATTACTTTACTATAGGTTTAAACTAGATAAAATCTTTTAAATCTAAAAGAGTATATTAAATTAAAGAGATATCTTATAATATATTTAGTAAGTAAAAGGGGGAATTAGAACCCTATATTAAGGCTTTAAGCAAGCATACAACCCCCTAATAAATACACACATCAATTCATCTGATCACCTGCTTCTATTGAGCTACCCCTAGGATCATCATATATCCGACATGTGCCATAAGAAATTACAGGAAATATCTTACAATACAGGCCCACACGTAGCATAATCAATATTTATAGCTACCCCATCCTTTGAAGGGAGCCGATTACAAAGGACGCAGGCTGTACTCTAGCAGGCCCCATTCGGGGAACCATCTAAGGCATCTGCTTAATAACAGTGTTGAAATCTCCAAATGAGTATGATATGTACCTTCCAGTATCATTATATTATTCCACGGACTTAATCCAATTCCCTATTCGGAATCGAATTAGGCAATCATTGGAATGTTTTGATAATTTCTCACTTTTAATCAATTTAACCAGTAGCATTACCACACATCCAGGATGGAGAAGGCACTTTAAATGCATTTCGCACGGCCGTTGAGGAAAATCTTTGGAAGCAATTCACGAACCCAAACGCAGGTCATGAGAAAACAGCTTTCCCAAAGGCTCAGGGAGACCAGGAAAAGGCTATGACGGAGAGGTCTCCAAGGCAGACGGGGGTCTACCATAAATTCCAGATGTAGCCAAATGCTGGAAAAGTGCACTCTTCTATGAAGAATCTAAACAATAGAATCCCTGTTGTCTGACAATAATACTTCGCAATAAGCTATCAGTAAAGCTTGATTTCAGCGGGATTTCCGTTATCTAGCATCAAATGGCCACAGTTTGTCCGCTTTTGCCACTGTTAGACCCTCGCCACGAGACTCAGATTCTCTGGCCGTCTGCATCCATTGGTCATACGCTGCGCGATGAGCATCTTTCGCGGCGTCCCATTTATCATTCGAAACCCACCCATCGGAGTTTGTATGGAGGGAGTGTTTTAGCCATAATTTAAGTTTTTGGAACGTTTCAAAATCTTCATACTCTCGAGCGTGCTCCTTCACCTCCTTTTCGGTCGGAGAAAATGGGCAAGCTCCCTGTAGTCCCAGTTCTGTCCAGCGAGCTGAAAGCTCAATTAATTCTTGGCGGAGTGCTGCGGCACTGTCCCTCCATGTCGTGTGACAGTATTGGAAGAGTCGAAACAAAGACGGGTCAAGTAGTCTTGCAGGGCGTAACTTAGGTGCAAGTCCCTTCATGCACACATCATATGTCTGATAACAAATTAATGCATCTTTCAACTCTCGTTCCTTACAGCCAGGAGGCTTTTCCTCGGAATGTCCGCTCTTGAATGGGTCTTCGCCCATTTCTTCGGGGAGCGCAGCGAAATCGGGCGTCTCGTTGGCGTAAATAAAAGCAGGCTCAATGCTTGTAGATTGCCAGTCAATTAGGCCAGTAATGAGAGTTGGTTCCTCGGCTGACACAAAAATATTCCTCATGTGAAAATCGGGATGAAGCAGAGTTGGAGTAGCAGCGTCCTGTATGCGTTTGTCTTCAACCAACCTCTGCATCATTTCTTCGCTGATTTTTAATAAACGAATGTGATCTTCAACCGACCCTTGATGAGGAAGCAGCTCGTGGGTGACGGGTTCCTTCGGTAACCGCGAGAAGCCGGTTTCTATCAAGCCTAGATAATAGCTTGTAAGGTCTTTCCCTAAATGTCCCACTTTGCGTTAGTAATGTTGTGGAAGAAAGGATAGAACATCTAGAACTAACAGGGACCGCAGTTAGGGCTTGGACCACCGTAGAGTTCAAGTTCCCCTGGATTCCGATTCCAGAAAACAGGACTGCAATTCGGCCCAATACAGAAGCCTTGCTCGAAGGGGACCTTCCTGTTCGGGTCTATCGGCGCATCTGAGAAGTATAGGCTACCATAAGCTGGGAAGTCCAGGGATGCCATCTTTTTAATTGCCAATGAAAGCGTCTTTGTGCAAAGCATATGTTGTTCTGAATTCATTTTGGGCCACATTTGGTGCAACTGGACACCCATTACATGCTCCTGGATGATATACTCTGCGCCGATTGGATTTGACTGATCATCATTCCAGTCTAGGATTTTCGGTATCGGAAGCGAGAGCTTGGTTTTCACTATATGAAACCACAATCAGTGAGCATGAGGGCTGAATTTTCAAGGATAGGATAGGTGAATCAGGCTTACAATATGTCATAGTTGCGACTTCAGAGTTGGTTGTTAACTTTGGTGCGCCCGAAATACTGGTCGGCAACCTTGCAACAACACGAGAACCATTGTCCATTGCGAAAATAAAGACTCTATTGAACCCACCCTCTCGCTTTTCATACCCAACAACCTTGGTTGCTCCAGGACTTACGCGAATAGCCCTGTCACAGAGCGCAGTGAAGTCGAACTGAATCTGGCGAGAGTTCCGTTCGAGCTCGTCCCGATTAAGCCACCTTCCACCTGTATAAGAATAAAGATCATTGCCTTCGGTATAGAGTCAGCAGGGAAAATGCCTCTTCAGGTCATCACGCTTCGGAGTAAATGATACTACTAACATGGAGTGGGCCCTTTCGAATATGTCCCTTCGGATGAGTCGTCTGGGAGGGTATGTAGTGAAATTGGGCAAGGCTCGTGTGCCATGTCTAATAGCCTGCGCAGAGGGGAGCAGCTGAGTCGGAGAAATATGGTTGCTGGCGAAGGGGATCTCAACTGTCGCCAAAATCGGAGCATATTGCAGATTGTCTGCTGAATAGGTGAAGTTGAACCGGCTCCGAAATCTCCCTTTCTCAAGGCGGTGAGTGTTTTTGCCATCCAGCCACACACCAATAAAAAGGCTCTGTTGCCGCCGATGGTCCAACTTTTGCAGCCGTGAGTTGGACAAACTACCACATGATGTGATTCATCTCATCCTTTACAGAATATTCAAAATCATCTCAAACCAAATATCCGAGTGATTGGTCTCATGCTTGCCGTTGAGTTTTTCGGATTTGGTAAGTGGCGGCTCGCAAAACAAGGTGCTATCTCAAAACCTTTTTGATTGGAGCCCCTGGCGCTAATTGAGACTCCTGGGGACGGACTTTCAGGCTCTGCTGAGTTGAAGTTGAAAGTTGATCAAGGCTTCTTAATAACAAATGTTGGAGTGCTGCACTCAGTGAATGCAACCAGCACCACCATAAAGCAGATAGCGACACGTGACTACCCAGTGTATTTAAGCCACCATTTCCTTCTAGATCTCCATGCTTCTTCCAAGCATCTCTCCTTCTCTCTATCTCCTAGTTAGACCCAATTTGAACCCATTTCGGTCAACTCCTACTGTCATCATTTGACGACCTTCATCAACAAATAAACTATAAATATAGCCCACTTATTCTGTGTTATTGTAGTTGAATTATCAATGCACATCTGTCTTTGAGTCGCACGTCTTCCTGACCATCACGATATACCGGTGACAGTTGTATGGTACACAGGGCCTACTTACCTTGAGGTGCACTCCGTTTCTCGAGAATTCAAAGAATATGCCCTAACAGACACAGCATTATCCCTTCGCCATGTCGAAACAAATCAAAGAATTCTTCTCAAAAGTTAGGAAGAATTACGACGTTGCGAAAAAACTGGGTGCCACATTCACCTCCGGGAGCCGCATCCTTCCGTCCCAGACGACCAAAAACGACGCAGATTACCAGCTGCGTCTTGACGCTGGAGAACTAGTCGACAAACGATACCAAAATATTGTTTTGCAAGTTAACTCTCAAGCTAAAAACACGGGTTTACGGGAATGGGTCAAGAAACAACCGCAGGGTACTCATGCGAAACTAGCTACCGCTCGCTTCGACACTCTCGCTGAGGACCAGGATGCTGAAACAGAAAGGGTCCTGAACGAACTACAAGAGCAAGCTAGGAAGAACCTGTAATAAGGGCTGGGAATACTTACCTCAGGAAATGAGATCAATCCTCAAGCAGTCAACTCGGGGAGGGCAGACATAGCAGAGTGATGACTATTGACTCTGGTATGTTTCCTTTACTAAAGAAGCGTTCTTCTTAAGTTCTATGACTTAACTGAAATATATGTATTGATGAACATATCATGACTACAAGTTCCCTAATTTGTATCTTTTCATTCCATGACATGCGAAGTAGTTCACCCAAAGCCTGGTACATAAATGGGTGTAAGTAGAAGAGGGTGGCGAAAGGCGCACACAAGAAAATTTAAGAAAACAATCAGTGTCCTTAGTCACTAGATTGATTTTTGGAAGGGACATGGCAAGTCAATAGTTAACATGAGTCTATCTCAACTGTAGCTGCCAGACAGAATAAGTTTCCTTGCTCAGAGCTACCCCCTGCCTAGATTAGCCGTGTTTTCGACCCATTCCAAATTGCTGCCTATAGGGGGCTAATTATGCTGCGATAGTTAACTACTTGTTATGAGTGGTGCTGTTGGTATCTAGAAAGCAAGCATCCTTTTGCCCAAGGCGACATTACAGTCAGCATCGCCGTTGATGGCTAATCCTGGGTTGGAATATGATGGTATGTGCAGGTGCCAAGAGATCATGGTTTCAGCCCATTCGAGTGAACCAATAAAGCTGTATCTGAGCTTAGGTAAGGGGGATTGGTGCGGCTGCCGCGTGACTGAGGGTGAGATCTCACCCTCTCTTACCTACTCTTACCCTATCTATTGCGCACTCACCCTCTCTCACCCTGGTCATGTGACTGTAAAGTGGCGCTCACCCTAAACTCACCCAGGCGGCAGCCACCTGACTACAGTCAGTGATTACCTGATGCCTAGTCCCACCTGATGTGTCAGGGGGCAGAGTCGGATTCAGATATTCATTGACTAGGAGCTAACCAGACAGAACAGCAGAATAGTAGGTATTAGGTAATAGATAGGATATAGCTTAAAGAGCTATAATAGGATTAAGAATAATATAATTTAAATATAGGAATAAGAATAAATAATTAAAATAAAATCTAACTAGATAGATATTATAACTTTATACTATAATAGTACCCCCTTCTTTAGGATTAAGCTTTATTAAAATTAGAAAAGAATTAATTAGGGCTTCTTAAAATAATAAAAATAATAATTATTTATTAATTAATAAGTATTTTTTAAATATTTAATAAATTCTTTAATTAACTTATTATATTTAATTTATTTAATAATATATTATAGCTTAAGTTTATTATAACTTTAATAAATTTATTAAGAATTAAGAATTTTTTTAATTTTTTATTTTTTTAATTTTTTTACTTTAATAAATAATTATAGATTAGAATATTAATTAAATAAAAGATTATTAATAATAAAGTAAAATAAAAATATATTAAATATAAAATAAATTTTTATATTTTTAGATAATTTAAATTTATAAATATATAAATTAATAATTTTTTTAATATAATATAATTTAAAATTTTTCTAGTCTAATTTTTTTTATAAGTAGAATATTTAAATATTATAAATATTTAATTAGATTTCTTACCCTATAATATAGTAATATATAAATTATTTTTAATAATTAATTTATATTTTATAATAGACTTAAGTAAATAAGATTTTAATATAAATAAATTTATAAATCTTATATATAATATTAATAAATTTTTTAATATTTTTTTTAATAAAATAAATAATAAAATAATTTAATTTAAATCTTAATATTATATAAAATTTATAATTAATTATAAATAATAATACTTTTATAAATTTAAAGTAAATAAAATTAATAATAAATTTAATTATTAATAATTATTTAAATTAATTATTTTATAAATATAATATATATACTTATAAATATTATTTTAAGATAATATTAATATATTTAATTTAATTATTAATTTTAAAATAATAAATAATAAATAATAAATTATAAATTTTTAAGTAAAATATTAGATATTTTTAAAAAATAATAATAAATTAAACTCTATAATTTAATATAATTATTTTAAGGATATTATAAAGCTTCTAGATATATTTAAGGTATAAATTAGCTACTTTTTTAATATTAATTATCTTAATATAGGAAAGGAAGTATTTTATCTTTATTAAATAATTAATTATAACTAAAATAATATTATAGTTATTACTTAATAATAAGTATATAATAAAATCTATACTTATATCTTATTAAGTATATTTAGAAATTAGTAAAGATTTTAGTACTTTTTACTTTACTTTTTAAAAAGAAATAATTTAGTAATAAAGGTAATAATTCTAGATTTATTAATTAATATACTTATAAATTCTAGGCTAGAAATATTTATATAATATTAATTTATATATTTTAATTTTTCTAAAATATCTAGTAATAAGATTTTTATAATAAAGTTTTAATATTTTAACTTTTATTTTATTATAATTAAGTATATAAAGTTAATCTTAATATCTTAAATATAGACTAGTATATTTATAATTAGTTAGTATAATATTAAGGTATTTTAGTAAATTATTCTTTAAGATATTTAGAATAAACTAAAGCTTTTTATTTTAAAAATAAGCTTTATTAAATAGTAGTTATAATATTAATAGCAGGAAGATTAGTTTATTAATAATAAGTTATTTAATAAAGTATACTTAATATTAGCTATTAATATTAAGTTTTAGATTAATAGTAATTTTAAGTAGTAAGTTTTTAGATTTTAGAATAATTTAGCTCTAGTAAAGAAATTATTTATTCTTCTTCTTAAGTAAATTCTCTAACCTTCTAGTTAATATATTAGGCTTAATACCTAACTTCCTAGAATAGTAGTATATTTAGAAGTTAAATCTTAATAAAAATTTAGACTAGCAGGCTTATTAATAATTTAATAACTTAATTAATATAAAATACTCTAGATTCTAGTAATTTATAATAATTTTTATAGGTAATAAAATTCTTTCTAATTTAAAATATTATTTTTTAAAATAATAATTAATAATTAATAATTCTTTATTATAAATCTTATAATTATATTTTATTATAGAATATTTTTTAGAAAAAAATATAATAAGATATAATATATTTTTATTATTATATTATAATAGTACTCTAGTAAATATATAATTAAAAATATTAATTTCTAGAATTATATTTTTTAACTAGTTAAAAAATTTTAATATTAGGATATTTATAAAAATTATCATGGTGTAGCTATATACCTATCTGGTTAGATTCTGCCCTAATTATCTACCTCTATTCCTATATTTAAGCTATATTACCCCTAATCCTATTATAGCTCTTTAAGCTATATCCTTATTCTAATCTAATCCCTACCTATTATACCTATATATAAATAGCCTGAATATATACCCTATTATTAGCTATACTTATTACCTACCTACCTCTTATAATATTACATAGCTCTTACTCTAGATATAGCTATTACTAGTATATTAAAATAACCTAAACCACCCTTAATTATAGACTTAATTAAGAAATTTATAAGCTATATTACTAATAATCTTATTATCTAGATTATTTATCTTAAGTCCTATAATAAATATACTAATTTTCTAAAGAAGGAGATTTATACCCTTTAAAATTAAGTTAATAAAGCTAGTCTAGAGTTAGCTAAGAAGGAAGGAATAATATTATATTAGAAAAAAGAATTAAAAATAATTTAATAAAAATTAATTAAATTTAAGTATATATTTATTATATTATAGATTATTACTATTTTTATTATATTTACTCTTATTATTACTCTTATCCTTACTAAATATACTCCCCTTATTAAAGCTATAATAACTAATATAATAAGAGTATTTATACTTATTTCTATTAATTTTTTTTTAATATTTATTTTAGTAAGAAACTTCCTAATTTATAAGAATTTAATAATATTTATTTTAATTTTTATTACTTTATATAATAAATCTATAATAAAATAAATATTAATCTAGATTATTTTCTAGCTACTAAAGCTTAATTAACTTATATAATAGGATATCTAATTAAAAAGGCTTATAAATTAATCCTGCCTAAAATAAGATTTAATATTCTCTAGTTCCTAGACTATCTTAACTTACTTAATTATCTAGAAATAGTATTTAGAGACCCTAATTAAATTTAAAATACTTAAAACTATCTTTATAATTAGAAATAAAGAAACTTAGACTTTAATACTTATTTTATAGAGTTCTATTATCTTACTTTAAAAGAAAAAATACTTAATAATTTTTTAATATTTTTCTTAATTTAAAATATTTTAATTAAATTTTAAAATATATTACTTTATAATTCTATTTTATTTTAAGATTTCTAAAAATATACTAATTATCTTTAATTATTAAAAAATTATTACTATTAATACTAGTTATAAATATTCTATTCTTACCTAATATCTAGTTTCTACTATCCTAGCCTAGTAGTACTAAGAAATCTCCCTAGTTTTATTTTATCTAGTTACCTAGTTATACTTTTTATACCTAGAAAAGATTTAGATACTATAAATTTATTTTATACCTATTATATATTATACTTTCCTAGGAAAAGATAATATAAGTATAAGAAATATTTTTATTATAAAAATAAAATATATTATATAAAAAACTATTCTTTATTTAATTAATATCCTATATAAATTTAAGAGTAGATAAATATACTAGTATATTATTCTAGTCTAATCTTTACTATAATATTACCTGCTTCTTATATTATAGCTTAGAATAATTACCTTATTATTCTAAAAAAATCTAATTAACCATACTCCTCTAATATCTTGCCTAACTTAAAAATAGAGTCTATCTAGCTATAATTACTATCTAGTACTAGAATATATATAAAAGCCCTTACTACTAGATATATTATTCTACTTATCTTATATTATTATTAAATTAACTAACTTCCTTAATCTCTATTATATATATACTAATCTAATAATATAGCAGGTATAATTATACTAAGAAAACCTAAAAATACTAACTTATATTATAATTAATTCTAAAGTTAAAGAAGTTAGCTTTATAAATTATTAATAAATAGAAATATATAAATTAAAGATTATTTTATTTCTTTATCTAATATTCTTATTTAGTTTCTATAATAAGAAAGTAAAAGAAGGTATAATAACTTATTATATAAAGACTAACTTATTATTAAATAATTATTATAATTAAAAATCTATCTTTTATATTATTTATTTCTCCTATTACTTAATTATTTTAGAACTAGTCTAGCTTATTATATATAATCTAAAAATATATTTCTCTAACTAAATAATTATATTTAATAATTAATATTACTATAAATATTATAATATATCTCTCAAGCCTATAAAAATAAAGGCCTTAATAAATATTCTCTAAAAAGATTAATCTAAGTAACTAAATTAATAAGAAGAATTACTAGAGTTAAAACTCTTTATATTTATAAAAATATACTAAAT